GCAAGCCACAGCTAATACAAAACCCAACTCATTTGACTTAGGAAGTTAGTAAACCATTACCAAATGTACTCAATCTTTAACTATCTCGCATTACCAAACACCATCCCTTTCAACAGAAGGTCATGTTGAACACTATATCATGGTGAGTACGAATATGGTCAGCCCATCCTTTTGAGCTCTGCTAAGTAATATAAGCCACATCCTCAGTTGAACTCCTGTATCACAGCATACACACACAATTTAACGCCTAGCTTTTTTCTTTTTTGAGATTTCAGAGTTGCAAATCTCCCTATTTTGGTTTTAGTGTTTGATAATATTGTATGATATTTATGAATTGTACTGGCCGATGACCGAAATAAATAAATATTTTATTTAATTCCTAACCTTACTATGTGTGAAGTTACAAATTAAACTAAGACAACTTCAACAGAGATCTCTAATGATAATTTTGTACGTGTGTATTGGTGTTGGCATTTTTCTTAAATAGCACTGGCACACAAAATTCACAGTGAGTATGAGGCTGTTGTATGTGTTTTACTGTATTAATTTCAACAGATTAACTCTAGAAAGGGAGATCATTTTCATGCCACAAACTTCTGGAACCACGTTTTTTCTCTTTCAAAGAAACACATACGGTGTGATGCTTCTGCAAATGCATCCAGTGGTCTATTCTCCTTCCTGACTTCCTCAACTTGCTCCTTCGTAGCCACCATTAATGATGAGAGAAAATGTTTGTCTGTCTCTCTTTTTTAACCTATATGATGCATGAAAGACAACTCCCATGACTGTGCCAACAGTCTGCTCCCAACACACTGGGAAGCAGATGGAAAAAATGGTAGGAGCTAATCTGTGGCAACGGTTCCCTAAAGAATCCTGCCCAGCTGGCTACTTCACTAAGGCTGCCATGGTTCTTTTCTCAGTCTCTGAATCCCCTCTTTGAGGCTTGGAGCACTGTTGTTCCAAAGGAGAAGACCTCTCCAGGCTAGGAGAAACCCCGGGTTTACTCCTGGGTTTTTATCACAGATATTCTTCTTTCCCCAAAGTTCACCTTGAGCCAGAGTGGTATAGTGGTGAAGGAGCTGGACTAGGAACATGGAGACCCAGAATCAAGTCCACCTTCAGCCCAGATGGTCATAGGGTGACTCTGGCCAGGTGCTCTTCTCAGCCCAACCTACCTGCTTAGAAGTGAAGATATTTTAAATGGGGGTACACTGCTTTCCTTTTACTTTACGAGAGCAGGTTAGAGAAGGGGGGAGCTTTTTTTGGAGGGAGATAAGCAGTATAGAATAGTATTTTTATTTGTATTCCTCACAGCAAAAAAGCTGTGAGGAAAAAAAAATACTGCACTTAAGTTTCATGTCAGATAATAATACTATTCTATACTGCTTATTCCCTCCAAAAAAGCTCCCCCCTTCTCTAACCTGCTCTTGTAAAGTAAAAGGAAAGCAGTGTACCCCCATTTAAGATAACTTCACTTGTAAGCAGACAGACACAGGTATTTATGATTTTTCTTTCAGCTTCCTAGTAGCTTTTTGAGGGGTATGAGAGAGGAGAACAACCCCAAAAGTATGAAACAGGCATTCCAAACTCCAATTACTTTGAAGTTAGCATGTTAATGTGGTTAACTTTCTATTTAATTTATCTCATGAAATGAAGGTCAGCAACTCAATGCCCACGGTCACTTGCCAACCCACCAAAGAGGTACCTGGCTTCCATCCAATTGCTGAGGTCACATGACACCCGAGACCAGAAAAAATGGATAATCCTTGCCCAAAGCCAATTTCACAGATGGTGAGCATTCTTTCACTTTCTGCAGATAATGGTTTTATTAGAGTGAGTGGTTATTCTGATGTTTACGTCTACATAGTCAAACAAATAACATGAAAAGACAACAGTTACTATTGAGCCAATTTCAAACAGGCAGACAAACAGACTCCAGTTTCCTGCCCACTGTTCATTTCCCTCATGCATAAGGTGAAAGGTGTAAAGTTGCCAAGCTAGTTCTACAGGCTCAAGGGACTATGATCAGTTCAAGTCGTAACTGCACATTACTCCTTTACTCCACAATCTCTTATGCAGGTATCACTGCAACAAAGCAAGGAGACGTCACAAAACAGGTCTACAGATTACTGAAATGAAGAGAGTGTCAAGGTGGCCCACTGGTAGGCCAGGGACGCTTGGTGGTTTTGTGCGAGCCAAGTGTTAACCCTAATGGAAAAACACCTTAATGTAGACTGCCTCTGCATTTCTTAGCCTGAGAACTGAGGCCACAGTAACTCATTTCCCCAGTCACATGCTCTAAAAAAAAAAGAAAAATCAGTACCAAACAAACAGGTTCACAAAAATGCTCTTGGAGATCAAAGAGAAGGATACAAATAGGAACTTGAATCAGCAATTAATGCAAAAACATGTTCACAGGTGCCCGACAAAACAATAGCTTGCAAAAGACAGCTGAATTGAACACTCTAAAATCCTTGGGGTGCATACTATTTTTAAGAAAATTGGGTAAACTCTCAACTTCAGCACAAAGTGGGACATGTCCAGCTGCTCCTGCATACTTTGTAATGCACCAGAGAAAGCTGCTTTCCATTGTTTACAGTATTCAGGAAGGGAAATCTATATAAACTAAGGTTATAAAGTCTCCATTTTTCTCTGAGGACTCTTCATTTCAATGATTGTACCCAGGAGGTTAGGAGTATAGACATATTCCATGGTATGACATTGCTTTAGATATAATTAATACACACTTTTTTTTTTCCTCCAGTACCAAAGGAATACAGCCAACATTTAAATGAGCTCAGGTGAGACTGTATACATTAGGAAGACTTATCTCAGAGGAGAAAACCTGATGCTACAAGCAGGCTGCATTTGAAGCAGCGTGATCTGCACAGCCCAGCAGCGATACTACAGAAATGACATCTGATGCCCCAAATATTCCTGACATAGAGTTCTCCCCCAACTCCAATGCTGCACTAAACAACCAAATGTAGCAAACAATTTTGCTTGACAGTCAAAAGGACTGGGGAGTGGAAGGACCTGAACTGACCTCACAGGGGTATCAGCAAAATACTTCTATATTGTGTGCGCACATTGCTACTTACAAGTTTTCTTTAAAAAAAAGAAAAGCTGTACAGAGAAATATAAATGCATCTCAACATCTGTAGCAGTTCTAATTAGCAGCTGGCAGAGAAGGGAGTCCACAATTCAGCAGCACCACAGCTTTCACCACTCACATGAGTCTTGGTTGAATTTACCAGTAAGACTATTCACAATATGCAAATTGCTGTCTGACAGTCAATGTGCCAGGTATTATGTGCATGCGTGTCTATATCCAATGTATTGGGGGGGAGGGATTTATTTTAACTTAGAAATCTGTAGTGCCAAAGGACCTACTCATTAATCCCCAACTACTGGAAGATTATTAACCATGACTTCCTCTGAAACCTTGCCGAGCTGGAAACTTCTAAGCCAGTCTCTAACTCTCTCTCTCCAGTGGTGGCATAGCTGTTAGACGTTTGTCAGCAAGTAAGAAAATGGCCATTTGTAAGCCAGAAATGGCTCCAAGATGGTGAAAATGACTAATCATTGCACTTTTTCCAATCTAGATGTGTAAGAAAATTCCCCGTCTCATAATTTATACTGGCTGCTACCAGAAACAAAGCTGAGCCACAAATGCAGGCCAAAAACTGTCTGATAACCAGGAGCTCGCACTGGCAACAGGAGTGAAATAAAGGCAGCTATTCAAAAAATTATTTCTTTCTATTTCTGGTTTCTCAGTGAAACCAACCTCAACAAAATTACCTTTCAGAGCTAAAAGGATCAGAAAATGCTTTTTATCGTGACTAAGCAGGTTTAACAAAATTAAAAAATAGCAGGCAGAGAACTGAGACATGGCTTAATATTGAGAATTTTGGTCTATTTGATCCAGGCCCTTCATGCATTTAGAAAGCATAGAAACAATACTAACAGTAACTAAAATTTGTCTTTGTTCCTAAAAGAAAGCCTCCAAGTTAAAATTATTGGGCCCGTACCAGAAAAGCCTTTTATCAAGGACCAACTGAAAGTGGGGAGGTGACATGACCAATGAAAATGGTGTCTTAGCTCTGCTGCTCCAACTTGACTCTCTTTAATTTGAATTATATTTATCAGTATATTTGGGGTGGATGTCCCACTGAGTTAAAGCCTGAGTAGTTCCACATAAATTTAAGCATTCAACCACATGTAACTTTCATGTTAAATTCAAAGTCCATAGTAACATGCCTGATTGATGGGTAACTAAACTTTGCCAGGAACTAAGATTGGAACTTTTCTTGGTGAGCAACTTTAGGGCAGCCATTATCCATTTTAGAAGCTAAGTTACATTGCACAGATGGCTTGTTCACATGCTTGTGCACATATATGAATGCACAAGCCGACAGCTAAAATACCTGCTCCATTTTCATTACTTTACTGGCAATATTAGTTAAATTACTGGAGTGCTTTGATTCCTCCAGAAAACATACTTAAATGCACATCCACAGGAGACTTTATACATCTGTATAATCCAACCCACAGTTGATGCAGAAAAGCTCATAGAAGAAAGAAAATTTCCGGAAAGAATTAAAGACCTTGCCAGCTTGCATGGGGGGATAACAACTTTACCCAATCCTGGGGCTGGCTAGCGCCTCGATGACACTCCCTGAGTGATTGCCAATTATTTTGGATCTTTTTATTTTCCATTTATTATTGTAATCTCTTAATTTTAATTGATTTTAAGTGTTTTGTAAACCGCCCAGAGTTGTTCAACGAGAAGGACGGTGACAAATTCAATAAATAAATAAAAACTCAGATTCTAGCTCCACATTTGTACATCAATATATGGATACCAATCAATGCATGCGTGTTTGGAAACATCAGAAAATTCAATGAATTACTTTCTATTCTTCAAAACATCCACGGGGATAAAGAGGCAAAATCTTAAATATTAATCCAACATAATTTCAATAAAAATGTGTACTTACTGGTGGGAAGTCAAAATCTATCTGATTTGCTAAGTTTAATATATAATCAATTCGAAACTGATTCTCTGCATTAGCTAGTTCAACTGGTGGTGCCAGGTTTCCCATCGCTGTTACTATTGTCTGTAGAGGAAATGATTTAAAAAATGTTACCAGAATGTGATGGTTTAAAAGATTAATTCAAAACAACAAGGAACGGCTTGTAAACTTACCTCTATAGCTTCTTTAATATTGTTTTTAATATCCTGAATTTTCATTTTTTTCTCCCTGTAATCAAGAAACAAAAAATTAAATTTCTAAATTGTAAAGGCTAACTTTGAAAGGGAAAACCAAAGTGAAACCATTTTTAGTTAGTGAAGCAATATTCAATAAATCATAGCCAGTTTCTCATTAAATTGCATATGCAGTTCCAATCAGCTATTCTATTTTTGCAAAGGGTGTTTTTTTTTTTAGGTAACTTTCCCCATCATAATTAATCTACATGAGCTTAACAAAACTGTACAGAAACTCATGAACAGGTTTTCCTTCCTACCTTTTCAACAGTCTCTCCCTAACTATCCAATTTTCAAGACTTCAAAAAATTAAATAGTGTTCTGCTCTAAAGAACACTTAAACTAACACAGGTAGTCCAGAATTCCTTTTGCCCACCCTGGGGGTGGGCTTAGCAAATGCCTCCAAAAATCCAATCAACAATTGGATCTCCCAGCCATCTCGTTCTTCCAATTACAGCAGCTACTACTGTTCACGTGGCTTGAAAAAACAATATATCCTAGCATATGTTGTCATTTATAGAACAAGACTACAGTGGTCCATCAATTTTGGAGCTGCCCTACCAATATTTTCCTTGCCAGGAAGTCACATCTGGACTGCAGCTACCACATATCTAACCCACTGAATTTCACACAACAGAATTAAGACAGAGGCAGGTACCTACAGTCCATTGTATATTATCAAGGTACAAGGAGGAAAGGAAAGGGCATCTGAAAATACAAGTAGTCTTTGCTTAATGAGTTTGTTTAATGATGATTCAAAATTACGACAACCTCAGAAAGGGTGGTTTATGCCCCCCCCTCGCAGTCACGTGGCCTGCATTTTGGGCACTTGGCAACCAGCTTACATTTAAGACCGGTTGCCAAGCACCCTACAATCATGTGATTGCCATTTGCAATTTCCTATGCTGGCCTCCCCATTGGAAGCTGGCAGGGACGGTTGCAAGCAGAGGGGAGGCGGCAGTGTGAAGGAACAGACCTCAAATCTTCAGGATTTTGAGCTTCATAATAGCCCAGCGCCGGGAGGTTTCCCCTCTACTTTCAGTGGCGAGCAGTTATGGAGCTCAAATCCTGAAGATCTGAGGTCCGTTCCTTCACACCGCTGGGAGGAAACTTCCCAGTGCTGGGCAGTTACGGAGCTCAAATCCTGAAGATTTGAGGTCCATGACTGCCCAGTGCTGAAGGGGGAGGGGAAACCTCCCAGCGCCGGGCAGTTACAGAGCTCAAATCCCACTGACTTTGCTTGTGGGAAGCTGGTAGAGAATATCGAAAATTGTGATCAGGTGACTGCGAGGGCACTGTGAGGGCTGGAACTCAGAGGATCGGTCATAAGTCCCCCTCGTTCAGCACCGTTGTAAGTTTGAATGGTTGCTGAATGACCACCTGTACTTTCATGACACCAGATGTGGCACTTGGCATTCTGGCAAGATTCAACTCTTATAAAAGCACCCAATAGGACAAACATTTTTCCAATACAGCACAATTTTGTTTTTAAATTCTGCCATCCAGTGTTGGACGTCCAAAAAAATCACCACCCTGCCAGTGCACATATTTTCCTACTGTAACAACTGATGTCCTTTGGCTGTATCATGACGTATCTATTTTCCTCCTGTACTTACAAATGTTGCTCACTTTTATAGCAGAAAAAGTTCTAACTTACTTTCTTCAAAGTCAGTATAAGACAAATTATTGCACAAAACATGAATACAAAACAAAGGTTTTCTGCCATGCATTGTGTTCAGAAGACACTGTGAAAATGTTATAGAAAGATGATCTGACTCTCATCTGTGAAATATGAGCAAGTAGGAATTACTTTAATCAACTAATTCAGTGAAGAATCTTGGGAAATTTAAGGAATAAAAGTCAACAAACTCAACAAAAAAATCAACAAAATTACAATTCACTAGTGACAAGTCCTAGAGTAAGGAGAGAAAACATACCAGTATAGTCAACTGTATCTTCCCAATTTCAATGGGGTTGCGATATTAAAAGTAAGAATCTGGCACATTGAATAAAATATAGTAACATTCTAAACACCTAAAAAAGATCTGGTTGTAGTTCTAAGCTATGTGATTTGTACTTAGGTCAAAGACTGCCTATCATCCCCAACTTCCAGCTATTGCATTATCATAGAACAGTTACAAAGTCTGCCAGAGGAAGAAAGGGTCATTACAGCTATAATGGCAAAACAACAACAATATAATGTAATGTTTCCATTACAAAGTGATGATAAATAGCTGAATTCACACATACATTAGAAATACAAGCATCTGTTTAGGATTGCATCAGAGTTTGGGACAATATCTACTTCCTTGCAACTTCATAAATGGAGGAAGATCATGGAGATACACACAGCTACTGCTTCCCATTTTTCAGCTAATTTTGGACAACTTGTTATGGAAACAGTTTCACATAGTTGCACCCAGATTCTGGACTACACAATACTTTAAAATGCTGCCAAGGAGAAAGGCTGCATTACAGCAGCTATACTAGGTTTCCAGAGAAACCTCAAATAGATATTTAGAAGTGTGTTCTCTTGTTCAGTGTGGCCTGGGAAAGTCCTCTTTCTCCTCCATCTGCTTCCCATTTGAAATCAACATTTAAAATAAGAAAAGAAGTTTGCTGGCTTTAGCACATCATGAAATACCCAGCCACAGAATACCCACTTAAGAGAAGGGAAGGGAAAATATCCACCATTTTTTAATCAATGTTAACAAGGCCAAATGGCATAATCAAAAACAAAGGCTGATGCACTAGATTTCTTTCTCATTAAGAACTTTTAATGGATTTTGAAATAATTGACAAGATCCTTAAGTGATGGCAGACGTAACTGTCTTTACCAAAAGAGTACTTAAGTCCCTATTTCTGACAGGTTACCATAGACTAATGGTAAATGCAGTAAACAAAGACTCTTATTACAGCAATGAATATATAATCTTAATTTGTGTTTTGTAATATTTCCTAAGAATATGTTTTCCATGACAATTGCATGCTACGTTACCTACAGAGTGAGGTACGTCAAGACTTCGACTAATAACTTACTTTCAAGTGCAATATACTAATGGTTCAAGGACTTACAAAATACAATAAACAGCTTGCTTGACTGAAGTTCTCAGCATTAGAACCATTTGCTGGCTTCAGCAATATGCAACAAGAAAATTCTATTCCTGAAGATTGCTAGATTTTAAAACATTTTTAATGATAAAAAATAGCTATTAGAGAAACCACAAGGCCAGAACAATATTTTACATTCTTAAAAGCCACCAACAACCACAGCGTTCCTCTTCTGCATTATTTTATGAGCTACTATAAACGTATATATCAGATACTATACAATAATAGATGTGAAAGAAATGTACGTGTTACACCCCACCTTGGCTTGGTTAGAAAACCAAGGTTTTTTTTAATTAGAAAACCAACTCTTGCTCCCCATCCCACTTTTGCTACCAAGTTATACTTAAAAAAAAAAATAAAATTCTGTCCTTTGATCAGATGAGGGTTCTTTTAGAACAGCAATACAGAAAATTCATCTGGAACATCAGTTCAGAGGGAAAGAAGCAACATCAGCGAAAAGAAGGGGGCATGAGCTTTATTTTCTTATAATACTAGGAAAGGGGGGGGGGAATATAAGCTAAATCCAACTATTTCTATACAAAATTATTTGTATACAAAATTTTAAATGCAAATGGATGGATGTTCAATTTTGATGTTGAAGTCACCCATGCTATAAAATTAAGCCCTACTTATGCTTCAAACCAACCAAGTTCTAGAATAAATGATTTTAATTTGATGTAAGCCGCCCAGAGTCCCCCATTGTGGGGAGATGGGCAGGGACAAGTCCAATAAATAAAACTAAATAAATAATAATAAAAAATCTTAGAATCTATTTATGGCCATGCAAGTTATCCCAACAGTGATCAGATTCTCGGAGGAGCTTATTCGGGTAGGTCACTGAAGCCCATTTGAGACACCAAAGAGAAAATATGTTACTGTTTACAGCTTTTTAAAAACTGGTTTTAAGCTGGGTAAAAGACTATGATATTATGTTGCCTTAAAATTCAAGAACTGGAATCAGTTTGACAGTTTATTTTCAGAGCTTTCCATCATGAAAATATTCAAAATCCTCTGATATCTTACATTAAAGATTTTGACATACAACGTTGGGCTATCATAATAAGCCCTCTGATACATATCAGGTGCCTTTAACATTTTTCCAATTTTGCCCAATAACTCTGAAATGATATTATAAGCAAATTAATAACCCAGGAGGCCAGGTGTAATCAACCCCCATTAGCTGTCAAACTGAAAAAGAGCCAAACTAAATAGTAGTCTCACCTCTGATCACCAAGTTATCTAAAGACATAAAGCCACCTGATACACTATGATTACAAGGTTCATCATAAATGTGTGTTCACATCTAAAAATAAGGTTCATCTGTGGACATCACTTTAAAGAACTGAATGTATTGTACATATACATGTACACTGCATATGTAAATATACTATACTTTCAAGTGCTGACGATTTAATATTTTTAATTCAATTCATCAGCATTATACCAGGAGAGGGGGAAATCTATTAAAAAAAAAAGCACAGAATTAAACACTTAAATTAGAATTAAATGTTAGATTTTTTTTAAAAAGAATAATGTGCATAAAAGTTAGTTCTATCATTCACCTCTAAAGTAATCAAAGCCTCTACTAGGTATATTGACAGATTACTAATTAATGGCACAATGTGGTTTGCTTAGTTTTGGCACAGCATGTTATACAAACCCAGCTATTTCCAGTTTACTCAGAACATCATGGTTAAATCATCCATGGCCTACAGTGCAATTTATGAACCAAGCCTTGGAATGAAAATAAGCTTTTTTTGCAAAGTAAAGAAAGAATGGAAAAAGGGGAAAGACTAGATTGTCCTGTGCAAATGTTCTCTATAATCCAGAGGTGGGTAATTTTTTCAAGATCTGAATTAGATTTCATGAAATTTTGGCCATTAA